TCTATCTATCTATCTATCTATCTATCTATCTATCTATCTATCTATCTATCTATATCATTTATCTATCTGTGATCTCATTACATTCTCCATTCACTTGTTTTCATTTCTTAGGGAAATAAAGGTGCCCCTGGCTCACCAGGATTTAATGGGGAACAAGGAACTAAAGGTCCCCAGGTGAGTTTTTGCAGCTCATTTTCAAAAGTAGGGAAATGACAGAGGTTGTCTTAACCCATTGCAGGAAAACCAACAACAATTTCAACAGTAATTTATTGGTTAAATTTCTAATTAATTTATTGCTATCAATTTAATTGCAAAAGGCTTTTGTAGATTATTTCTGATTATATCAAAAGTATCAAGTATTATCTTAACTTGTCAAATAATATACTTTACGATGGTATTGATTTATGTCCAGATCTCCTCCCAAAAAGCAGACTATAAAAGGAGATTATAGATAATATTTGTCAGGTCCCATAGATCTCTATCAGAACCTTGCCATTCTGGTGGGAGGGGAGAGGGCCCACTTGCTTGGGGCTTTCTTTGTTCCTTTCCACTGCTTTGATGTGCCTTTGGGGATGTTGGGAAGTGGGGAAAGAATGTATCACCTTCTCAGCCCGAAGTTCTCACAAAATCTTTGCACCTTGGGAATGGCTAAAAGATGAACTGGATATTGGGAGGGGCCTTGAAAGGAGCGGTTTAACCTAATGCTCCAGTGTGTGAAATCAGATTCTGCTTACACTCTCTCTGCTATCACTGTCTTCCAATAAAATTTCCTTTTGAAATGCTGTTCATTTGAAGAGTTCTGCTTTCTTGAGAAGGCTGGCAAGGTGGGACCTTACATTAGGCAGAATCTGCAAAGTGGTCAACCTGGAGAGGCTCCAGATCTACTGTGGGGACTGTGCAAAAATGTCCAACCAGGGCACCGGTCAAGAGGAAGCCAAATGCAGGGAGGAAGACCCTGTTGAGGCTCAACCTGATGACAGCCCCAGCACGTGGATGAAGGATGTTATCATTCTGGATGATTCCACAAGACCGAGGTGATCCAACGGTGTGGGGAAGAAAGAGAACTAGAATGGGAGAACCCAAAGAATCACCTTCACCTGGGGAAGCTGACAGCAGGGGTGGAAATGTGAGCTGGAAACCCTTTATGATGACTATGAAATAAAGGAAGCCTTGGGCTGATCTTACCAACTCATAAAGAAAGCAATGCATCTCATGAGGGAAGCCCTCCAGGGCATGAGAATCTGAGACACTGGGGCCTGCACCACTGGAGAAATGGGAAGGTGAGAGGAGACCACTGTCTCCAGCCCCTAGGACATCTGCAGATACCATTGAGAATGCCAATGAACCCATTGCCACCCCAGCAAACTCACCTCAAAGAGACCTGGGCCGAGTGCAAGTTCCTCATGCTGGCGAGAGGAGATACCCACAACTAGAACAGAAGGCACTTCCCCAGGCATAAAATTCAATAGAGACCCATGCAAGAGTATGGGAGGGATCTCCTAACCAAGGGGATGAGGGTCAGGGTTGTCACCCTGGCCTAGAGGGGACTGGAGCATGCCGGATGGTGACCCTCCCCAAAGCGGATGCCCCTGAGCTCTGAAACTTTAACCACTTCACGACAGCCCTGTGGTGCAGGTTTGAGGATACCCTAGCTGACCAAAAAGCCAGGGACTGCATCAAAACCATAAAGCAAGGCTGCTGGCCAGTAACCCAATACACAGAGGAGTTTAGAGAACTGGCCTACCATGTGGAGTTTCCAGAAGAAATACTTGTGAGCTGTTTCAAGGACAGGCTGTATGATGACCTGTAGTATCACCAGAGGAGTCCCAGCTCACCTGCATGAATGGTACATTTTGGCAGAAGAAGTCAAAATTGACTAAGCCTGAAACCAATTCTGCTAGAGCAGAACCTGGAAGAGGTCACCACCCAAGAGGAAGAGAGAGGTGGCCAAGCCTCAGTCCAGTCTACCACACTCAACAGCCTGATTCAAGTGCAGAAAGGAAGGCCATGGCAGAATCTTACTCAAAGACCCCGACCAGAAAGGAAGACTGACAATTTTGGGGGAAGCCAGCAAAACCTTCCCAATGCTCCAGGGAAACCTCCCTGAAGAGTGGTGAGGTCGTGGAGTTCCAGTCCTCCCGCAAGCAAGGGACCTAGAACTCCAACCCACAAGAAGAAGAGGCAAGCCCGTTGGACAGTGACTATGACAATGACCCCATGTTAATAGCAATATCACTTAGACTATATACGGCTTCATAGTGCTTTACAGCCCTGTAAAAGTGGTTAACAGTCAGCATATTGCCCCCCAAAAAAAATTTTGGGTCCTCATTTTACTGACCTCGGAAGGATGGAAGGCTGAGTCAACCTTGAGCCTGGTGGGATTTGAACTGCCAAATTGCAGGCAGCCAACAGTCAGCAGAAGTAGCCTGCAGTACTGCATTCTAACCACTGTGCCACTGATTGTCACTATCCCAGTGAGACAATCAAGCCCATCACTGTGCCAATAGAACTGCTAATCCCCAGCATGGGACAGAAGATGGTGCTGGTGGCCCTACTAGACCTAGGGTGCACCAAGTGCCTAATAAGTCCAACCCTAGTGGGAAAGCTGAGGACCTGCCTAAGAAAAATCTCATAGCATTTTGCCAGCTCGATGGGTCCATCATGGGAGGAGTGTTCATGCAGCTGATAAATGAGATGCTGCATGAACACCTATACAAGGGTGTTTTGATGTACCTTGATGACATTCTGATCAGTAGTGGGATTCAAATTTGTTTATTACTGGTTCTGTGGACATGGCTTGGTGGGCGTGGAAGGGGAAGGATATGTAAAATCTCCAGTCAGAGGTGGTATTTGCCGGTTCTCTAACTTACTCAAAATTTCTGCTATCAGTTCTCCAGAACTGGTCAGAACCTGCTGAATACCACCTCTGATTCGGATATATACCGAAACAAAAGCTGAATGTATCAAGCCGGTCCGGGCAGTCCTGAAAAAATTCTGAGCTGCCAAATTATATGCTAAGCTCTCAAAATGGAAATTCCACAAAGATAAAATAGACTACCTGGGATACAGGATCTTACACTAGGGAGTGGATATGGATCCATTAAAAAGTGCGAGTGGTGTTAGATTGGGAAGCCCCATGCCCCTGAAAATAGTTACAAAGTTTCCTAGGCTTTGCAAATTTCTATAGGCAATTTCATCCCATCATTTGCCCAAATCACCCTCCCTTTCATTAACTTTCTGAGAACCAAGGGAGTAGATAAGCCTAAACCCAACCAGCCACTAAAGTGGAACATGGAATGCCAAGCAGCCTTCAAGAAGCTAAAAAAGCTCTTCTCAGCCGAGCCAGTGTTAAAGCACCCGGACCCAGAAAAACCCCTTTGTAATCCAGGCCGATGCTAGCGATGTGGCAGTGGAAGCTGTGCTGCTCCAGGAAAATGAGAGGGGTCAACTACAGCCCTGTTCATACACATAAAAAAAAAAAAACTAACTGAAACCAAACAGCATTGGGCAATATGGGAAAAGGAAGCATTTGCAGTCAGGTGGGCTCTCCTTACTTGGCAGCACTTCCTGGAAGAGAATAAAATGCCTTTCCAGGTATGGACCGACCACAAGAATCTGGAAGCTCTAAAGACCCCAAGGAAAATGTCTCCCAAGCAACCCTGTTGGGCCCAATACTTTTAGTGATTTAACTTCAACCACTGCTATTTACATGGCAGATGCTTTGTCCAGGCTGCCCCAGTATAGCAGCATGAAAACAGAAGTAGTTAAGCCCATGCTCCCTGCACCATAGTTACCAGCATGGGTCACCACAAGATCGAAAGAAAAGAGGGACTCCCTCATGGACAATGTGATTACTGTAGCCCTTAAGCAGCTTCTAGAGAAGGATGTGTGGTTCTTTAAACACAAAAATACTTGCTCCATATAAGATGGACTACTATGGGTGGGAGGTAAACTTTATGTCCCAGCGGTAGCATAGTACTGTGGCTTTGGGAGTTGATCTCATATCTAAACCTTCTAATATTTCAAGAATGTACAATTTTGTATTAGAACTTTTCTGCTTCAATTATTTAATTTTGCTTATTTATACAGGGACCACCTGGCACAAATGGAATCCCTGGCATTCAAGGAGACTCCGGCCTCCCTGGTCAAAGGGTAAAATTAGTTTTTTCTATCATCAAGGATGTTCTTAAAGAGCAAATTATAAACACTCTTAGATGGGGAAAACTCAGTGATTATTGTCTGCTTCTAGTCATCATCAGAAGTGTGACTGAAGAGCGATTTAATATTAGACAGCTGTGGGACTAGGAGTACAAAATAATTTTATTATGGATCCTGTTGGGAGTCAATTTCTTTTCATCCTGGCAGGAAAGAAGTCCAAATAGCACTTCTCATTAAAAAGAGCTGCAGAATCATTTCATAATCCTAGCATGCACTTTAATGGCCCTATGACCAGCCCAGGAAGCACTTTGAAAAGCAGTATCTACATAGGCCTTTGAGGTTGTCAGGCGTCTTTCCTGGTAAAACAGAAGATTAGGACACAGACTCAGACATCTTAATCACTTATAAAATTAGATCAGCCCCAAATGGCCCAGTGGTTTTGTTTTTCTTTGAGATTTTAAGAGAATTTGTTCTGCAAGTGAGCAATAACAAGGACCAGCATTTGGAGGCCTCCTGTCCCCAAGCCAGAAGTGATAAAATTTCCTCCAATCCTCTTTTAAAGCCATCAAATTAACAGCCATTGCCTTGCTTTTGGCAATAATCAAATAATGCCCTGAGTAATTAACTACTTCCTTTTTGTGAAATAAAAAAAACTAGTTCCTATTGTGAATTTTTATTCATTGGAGGACTTCTGGACCTCATGTTTGGCAAGAGAGAGAAGACTTCCTACTGCACTTTTACTATACCGCATGGGATTTCATCAGGCGTAGGATTCAAAAATCCCAGCAACTGGGCAGCAAATCGGGCAGCAAACCGGTTGCTGGGTGGGCATACCATGAGGGGCATGGCCTGCTGGAACTTCCTTTTTCTGGCTTCTGGTGGGTCTCCAGAGCACGGGGAGGCCGTTTTCACCCTCCCAAGGGTCCATAGGCTTCCCCTGGGCCTCTAGGAGGGCAAAAGTGGCCTCCCCGGGCTCTGGAAGCCCACTGAAACAGGCCCATTTTGTGACTTCTGGTACTTCCGGGAAAGCCATTTTTCGTCCTCCCAAGGGTTCGGAAACCTCCCCCGGGCCTCTGGAAGGGTGAAATCAGCCTCTCCTGGGCTCTGGAAGCCGGAAACAGGCCCGTTTTTGGACTTCCGGAAGGTCCATTTTTCCCCCTCCCAGAGCCTCCACACAGACCCTGCACTTACCTGCATCGCATGGGGGCCCCTGGGGAGGGGGGGGGGGGGGGGGGGGGGGCCACCCCATCAGTTGAAATACCAGTTCGGCGAACCAAATGTAACTTTAACATCCGGTTCACCTGAACCGGTCCGAACCAGTAGAATCCCACCCCTGGATTTCATAGACTTTGATCAAGTCTTGTCATAGTCACCTGTTTTCTAAGCCAATGTGTCAGATACCCTGACAATTTTTCTTGTTCTATATATCCTTTCTAGCTGTATTATTCCAGCTGCAGACTTTTTCTGCAGTGACTCCTACTCTATTGAAACATCCTGCCTTTGGAGATTAGAATGGCTCCAATCTTGTTAGCCTTTTGTAAGGGCCTGAAAATCTGGCTATGTTCCCAAGCCTAAGGTACTGAATGTATCAAGGGCCCTGTTTCCTGGCTGTATTGCTAACTGACCAAGTATTTTGGCCGCTGTGTATACTGTGTATATATATTTTATTGTTTTAAATGTTTTTAGTGATATATTTTTGAATTGTAAGCTGTCTGGAGTCATTGACTGAGATCAGCAGCTATAGACGTTGAATAAATAATGAGTAAGGCTATATGTGACAATGTGCAGCTATAGACATTGAATAAATAATAAGATTATATGTGACAATAGGAACTGTATACAATATTCCATCACGCATTTGTATAAGGGCATTACAATGTTGGCAGTTTATTTTCAGTCTCTTTCTTGATTATCACTTGTGTGGAGCTTGCCTTTTTCATGGCAGCTGCACATTGAGTCAACCTCTTGAGGTACTATTTTGTACTCAAGATCCCTTTTATGGTTACTTACAAGCAGATCTGATAACTATGGACATGAAGGTTTTGTTGCCTAGCTCAAACTTATTTTGATTTGCTATAAACTCAACAATTCACATATTTAACAAGTTATTTTGAAACCTTTACCATTTCTTTTGTTCCCCACTACCTTAAACAGTTTGGCTTCCCAAGCTAGTATCATTTATGAAAGACCTTGCTTTTTATTTTCTGCAATGAAAAAAAAGCCTGTTCATTCCTATTTTTTGCATGTCATTTTTAATCATTCAACAATACATAAAAGGACAAGCATCTTTATTCCATGAAAACAAAGTTTACAGAAGAATCTTTGTTAAGTGACTTTGTCAAAGCTTTTTTGAAAATCTATACAAATCGATACAGGCTTGCTTCCATTCACAGGCCTATTGTGGGAATCTCAGAAAACTTTAGAAGGCTGATGAGGCAAGATTTACCTTTGCAGAATCCACACTGATTTTTCACAGCAAGGCTTGTTCCTCTATATGTTTAGGTTCCCCTCATCCCTTTAATGATAATTTCCATCCATTTTTCTGGAACAGTTACTAATATGCCCATACTGTTTCTGTAGGGTTCTAGTGGTCCAGGTGGAACTGTTGGGGAGCGTGGTAGGTCTGGTCCTCTTGGTAAAAAGGTCAGTATTTTTTAAATAGCTCTAATAATTATTAGTTAAATGACAGAAATGATGGCAGTTGAAATAAGCCTTGTTTTCACTATCTCCTATATATCTTTCCAGTCTTAACCTCAGCATCAAACTGGCTTTCAAAAATACATCTATAGAAACTAAGGATATTGTTAAAATCTTCAAATACTTGATTTGAGATTGCAATATCATTAAACTTTCCCACTGGAATGTTAAAAAGCGTATTGTATTTAGTTTAATTTTAAAAGTGCACGGGGAAACACAAGTTTCATGGTTGACATTTACTCAAAGAACACTGGATTCTTTATCGCTCCTATTATAGCAGTTTGGAAATTCTCCTGAATTTCTGCTTGAAGGAGCAGCTAAAGCTGATGCTTCTGTTTTTCTATGAATGGGAAGCTTTGGTGACAATAACTCACTGAAACTCGATTACTGTAATACACACATTACTTGGGCTGCCTTTGAAGACTACCCAGAAATTACAGTGGGTGCAAAATGTGGTAGCTTGCTTGCTGACAGGTGAAAGTTGCCTTAGCAGGATAACACTTTTGTTGCAGATACTATATTGGCTCTCAATAGGCATTTGACTGCAATGCCTTTAAAGTTTTGAATGGCTCAAGGCCCTGTTACCTGTAACCATCTTCTCTGAGTAGGACCATCTTCTGCGCTTAATCCAAGAATGGTCCCTTTGGATTCTTCCCTGTGGACTATCAGGAGGGGGGAGTCCAGAGACAGGCTTACTCAGTGGCTCCCCATTTCTATGGAATAGCTTTCCCCTTGAGGTCCTTCACTACTGACTTTGAGGAAGTACTTTATTGCTGCCCCTTTGGGACTGCTTTCTCCCTGGACTACTGTTATTTTATATTTGGTTGTTAAGATTTTTAAATATTAGTTTAACATTGACATTGTTGGAGGTAATACACTGACTCTGTAAACCACTTATAGAGGACTGTAACACACTATGAAGTGGTATATAAGTCTAAGTGCTATTGCTATTGCTAAAACTATTATTCTCTAAGCACCATGTCTGTGTGTATATCTTACATGATACATTCAAATAAATCTTTCAGGGTGAAGCTGGTGAGCCTGGTCTTAAGGGGCCCATTGGTCCTCCTGGTCCCCGAGGAGAAATGGTGAGTGTTTCTAGGAACCAGTATTACTCAGTGCTCAAAGAGTGAGTATTAACAGATTCAAGGGATAATCAACATTTTCTTGTTAAAGCATCGAGAACACTGTCCACATGTTTCTTGTTTGGAAATCTTGATTGTTCCCTGCAGGTCAGTCCAGATGGTTTACAAACCATTTCATAGGGTTCCATCTACTCCTGTAGTTGTAAGAACATCCTTAGCACTGAATTGTTTAGAATTTAATGACCATTATGGTACAGCAAAGATGCAAAGAGACTTTTCAGGATCCCAGTGTCTGTTGCTTATTTTTATTTGTTGCCTTTGCATTTTGTAGGGAGATGATGGACGAGATGGAGCTGGCAACGAAGGACTGAGAGGCAGAACGGTATGTCTAGGATCGTTTTTGGACTTATAAATATATCTGAAAGTTCCTTAATCCATACATCATGGCTTGGGCAACAGCAGTATTTGCAGCAAGGGAACCAAAGGTCTATTGACCTCTAACACAAGACTGCCTGTTTTCTTTTGTTCTTCCTTCGCAATAAGAACTCCCACCCTCCCACACCCAATTTTGACAATATCTCTGATTTTCTTCCAAGCTGTTCTGTGTCTATGTCTCACCTTTCCTTGGCCTTTCTTTCTCTTCCCTGTACCTGTTCAGCATGCAAAATAAATGAAATACAAAATCTGTAGTCTGCAGGAAAGAAGGCGGAGCCTCCTCACTGACGGACCGTAGATCGCAACTCTCTGCGGCTATGGTCCATGCTCTTTCATTGGAGAGCCCTGATCATTATGATTAGGGGCTGAAGCTGCCTTGGAGGGGCGGTGGAGTAAGGGGAAGCCGCAAGCCAGGTTGAGGGGAGCCGCATCTCCCCTTCTGGGCTTGGTCTTTTTCCCCCCGAAGACGACTGCAGCGGTGGTTTAATATGGCCTCCCTGAAGAGAAGGACTCAGCTGGATTAAGATTTGTGCAGGAGGGAAGAAAGAGGTGGATAACATCTGAACCGGGACAATTAGGCAATACAACTAAACGAAAGTACCCCGGGATTAAGGTAACATGGAATTTTTAAGAAAAGAAAAGTGAGCGGTGAAATTACAAAGGGACAGGAAAAAAAAAAGAAAATATTTTTGACAGCTAAGTGGGGCTTCGAACTGGGAAAGGAAGAAGCCGGAACTAAAGATTTAACTAAATTGGACTAAAATATTTTGGCAATAAACAGGCATAAAATAAAGCTGGGCTTAAGATTGTCAAAAAATAATAATAATAAAGTTTACAAATTGGAGATTGGACTGTGCTGGAATATTGAGGTTCGAAAAACCCTAAATAAAAAAATAGGGAAAAAAGGTGAAGACTTTGTATAATGGAGAGTGCCACCTTTTGACAAAAACTTGAGCTCAAACAAAAGGGAAAGCATCCTGTTTCTGAATGAACTTGTGTGGATATAACATTAAAGAAATATTGAAACAAAGTAAGAATCTTAGAAAGTGAAAGCAGAACCAGAATAAAGAAAAAAGCAAGGAAAGACTGACTGTGGGATTGATTTATGTTTTTGGTATAGACCCTGGGCTGGAATAATTGAGAACTTTAGAAAATTGAAAGAAGAAAGAAGGAAAGTAGAAGTGTTTTTTTGTACACTTTAACAATCATAAAATACAAGAGTGTGTAATGATGATATCTCTTCAGGAATTAAAAATGGAACTTAAAAATATGGGAGAATTACTACAGGAAAGAGGCGAATCACTTTGTTCTGTGTTAGAAAAAATGGAAATGGTGATTGAAGTACAAGAAGAAAGAGCTTCAGAGGAGGAGGAGGAGTTGACTCAAGGAGAAGACATTTTAAATAGACAATTAACACAAAGAACACTACAAAGAAGTGGGGAAAGAAGGAAGGTTAAAACGTTGAGATTTAAGAAGGCAATCAAAAGGGGGAATACCTGTGAAGTCAGAGAAATAAAGAAATACAGAAATAGTAAAATGTTGAAAAGAAATTGTTTTTTCAGAGATAATGGTTGGTGAATTAAAAAGGAGATTCTGCAGGGTGATAAGGGGTAATAAGAATAAGGGGGAAAAATATGCTGCAGAATTCAAACGAAAAGATGTAATGATTATTATTGTAACTTCTTAAAAATAATGGTTTATTGGGAATCAAGATGAGGGAATAAAGGTATATTTTAACCATTGAGGTGTCACACTCAAAGCAGTAAAAGGGGGGAAACCTATACTTGTTTTTTCTTTAGTGTTAAAATTTGTATTAATTTAAAATTTATAAAAAGAATGTGTAATGGAAAGGGAATATGACAGACTAAAGAACCAACTAAATTAATAAGTTAATATAGACTATTAAAAGCAAGGAGAGACATTGATAACATTATTATTATTATTATTATTATTATTATTATTATTATTATTATTATTTAAACACATATTGTTTATCTTTATTATTAAAATAAATATTAAAGGATTATATTTGAAATAATTGAAATGAAACAAAAAGATGTTTCCATTGAGATTAATGAAAGAGGCTAGAATTAATGTGTTTGTTTCTCTCCTTACTGAAAATTTGGAATGGAAAAGGTAATAATAGAATTAAGTATGCATATATGCATATATAATTGCTGTCCTATTTGTATGTAAAGATGATGACCCGGAAATACGTTGTCCACTAAAAAGAGATTTTTGTTTTTATGTGAAAAACTGAATAAAATTTGTTAAAAAAAATATCTGTCGTCTGCAAGCTGCTCTTCTGGTTTTTAACTCTTTATAAGCAAAGATTTCTTCTCCACAGAGCCTTCCTGATTTGCACAATTAAATTGTATGTTTAATTTTTTATTGATGCCAGTAAAGGTAGTTTTTTTATCACACTCATATAAGAAAGTTTTAAGTATTTGGAACAATTAGCTTGTGGAAAAGGATTAAACTTTATTACAAGGACTCTAGTCTGAGTTGAGTTATCCTCGCTGTGTTTGTGTCAATGTAACATACTGCTGGGATTTGTGATTCCCTTTTTGAAAGCTCCCTGAATTTAACTGCACAGAATCCCCATGCAGGCTTTATTATTATATTCAGTGACTCTTCCAAGTGTTACATTGATCACTTGGGTTTTACAGCATAACAAACTCCTTAATAGTGCCTGTGTTGATACTTATAATCTCTAGAAAAGAGATTGGGGAGGATTCTGTGGTTTCTTCCCCAAACCCCAAAAACTTTAACCTTAGACTATTGACCTCATCCCTTTCCTAAGAGGTCTGTAGGGGGCGTGCATAAGCGCACCAACGTGCCTACCGTCCCTGTCCTATTGTTTCTTTTATTTTTCTTATATGTATCCAAGTATTCCTATGTTTTTACTTATACCTATTATTTTGTAAGCAATTGACAAAAATAAATAAATAAATAAAATAAACTCCTCTGATTCTAAGACTTCAATTTCTTTTCTCCACAGGGACAACCCGGTTTCCCAGGATACCCAGGATTACGGGTATTTAAAGCACTTTTTAGTTTTTGTAGAGCACTTTAACTTCTATGTGATCTTTATTAGAGAGTAAATGCTCTGCTTCTCATTTTGGATTAGGGTGTACCTGGAGATCATGGTGATGATGGTAAATCTGGCCCCAAAGGAAGCAGCGGTGAACGGGTAATGCCATTTCATCCTCTGACTCCAATAAGACTCCCTTCCTGCATCTTTCTCCCCAATGATTTTCTTTGTTCTAAATGTCATTTTGTAGCACTTTCTGGCAGAGCTATGGTATACTTAATTAGAAGAAAGATAGCATCATGGTACTTATTTGAATATATAATTGCCGAGTTAGTATTGCTATTTTATTGTACATATTAGAAAGATCCCCTACCTGGAGAGCTAGAAGGCATTGATTTCACTCACTTGTAATTGGTTGGAGAAGATGCTTTACACTGTCTGTACACATGCTATGATATGTAATTCATTGAAGATAGTATATATATGAGTGTATAACAGAATAACAGAGTTGGAAGGGATCTTGTAGGTCATCTATTCCACCCCCCTGCCCAAGCAGGAGACTCTATACCATTTCTGACAGATGACAGTCTTCTTGAAAGATTCTAGTGATTAAGCTCCCACAACTTCTGAAGGCAATCTGTTCCATTGGTTGATTGTTCTGTCAGAAAAATTATCCTTATTTCTAGGTTGAATCTCTCCTTGATCAGTTTCCATCCATTATTCTTTGTCTGGCCTTCAGGTGTTTTGGAAAATAGGTTGACCCACTCCTCTCTGTGGCAGCCCCTCAGATATGGAACACTGCTATCATGTCACCCCAGTCATTGTTTTCAATAAAATAGAGATACCCAATTCCAGCAAGCATTCTTCAAAGGTTTTATCCTCCAGTCCCCTAATCATCTTTGTTGCTCTTCTCTGCATTCTTTCTAGAGTCTCAACAACTTTTTATACTATGGTGACCAAAACTGGATGCAGTATTCTAGGTGTGGTCTTACTAAGGCTTTATAGAGTGGTATTAATACCTCATGGGATGTTGATTAAATCCCTCTGTTAATGCATTTTAGGATTGCATTGCCTTTTATAGCTGCAGTTGTAGACTGTTGGCTCGTATTTAGTTGGTTGGCTATTAAGACTCCAAGAACCCTCTCACAGTTACTGCTAATTAAGCCTGGTTTCTCCCAATCTAAATGCGTACTACTGGTTTTTCTTGCGTAAGTGTAAGACTTTACATTTTCTCTACATTGAATTTCATTCAATATATTGTTGTTGTTGCAGGTTTTTAATATACAAAATTTCATAATGATTTATTTATTTTACTGCAATTTAATTCATTTGCATTTTAATACTGGAATTCTAAGGAAGTAATGTGGTGTTGTTTACTTCAAATTAAGCCAATTCCCCAGTTAATTAGCATTATGTGTAAATCATGCAACTCTGACCACATCCTAGTTTTTTCCTTCAATAATCTGATTAAGGCATTCGTATTAGTTAGGTGTAAGATCCCATACCATGTTCTTTATCAGCCATGGAGATTCAAAATGAATTAGTGAAGTTAGTCAAAGTTTCAAAGAGAAACTTTGAATTATGTTCTTATTAGCCAGGAGCCAACTGTAGGTAAAAAGAAAGTAGCATTTCACAAAATTGGAACCAAATATGTTCATTAAGTACCTTCTGGTCATAGAATAATGTTAGAACTGTGAACATTATGTAAGCATTGTCAAATTAAACTCAGTGATACTCATTTGCTTGTGTAACGAAGCTAAAACATTGCTATAAGTTGAAATGATGAGTATTGTAATACTATTAATAATCTTATTATACCCATCTGCAAATACTTATCATATGTTTTTTTAGACTTACTGAATTAGAGATAGCAATCATGTTTAGCCAAGGATAGCGCTCCACACTTTTTAAATAGGAGAAAGGCTTTAAAGACAGACTGACAATAAATATACTTACGTATATTTATGGGTGCATGTGTGCATGTAGGAAAAAATATAATACCCATGGGTGAACCAGGATTTTCTTGAATTGGATAAGTTAAATTATGTTAGAATTTTAGGAGGCTTACAGTTTTTGTATGGGTTTTTTTTCACTCTACAAAACAAGTTGAAAACTATGTTTTGGGTTTTTGGGTAGCTGCCTCCCCCAAAAACAATCTTAGTGGTTCACTTCTAATCTCTACATCATTCAATAAATTATTTTTATTATTTACAATATGCTTTTAACTTGACCCTCAAGAATTATTTTAAAAAATATAATGCTATATAACCCAAATCCTTTTCATACAACTAAGACTGAATTACAATAAATAATAGAGATGTGAAAAATAAATGATTGCTAATTTAAGCAAACTTTCTAGATTAAAGTAATGGTGACAACTGTTGGGTATGTTAGATGCCTAGTGAATATGGGATGAAGGTGGAGAATGTATGGAGTAGGAGCAATGGAGAATACTGCAACGGATTCTTCAATGTAATACTAGGGAATAGATACAGAAACCTGAACAACGAGGACACATTTAATTAACTTGAAAGAGTTGTGATAAATAATATGAAAAATATTTATGATCTGAATCAAATGCCTAGTTTTCCCTTTTTAGGGACATTCAGGGGACCCTGGCCAAAGTGGACAGAAAGGAGAGAGTGGCTATCCAGGACCACCTGTAAGTTTTTGCTATGCTGGTTATTGCTTTAGTAACTACACTTTTCTAGTACACTTTTGCCCTTTCTTTTCATACAATTTGAAAACAAGCTCACATGCTCGATATTTATCTTCAGTTGTAAAGTTAAATTAAAATTCATTCTCTTAATTAAACTCATATGAACCACAAAAATTGAGATGTGGCTTTAATATGTTTACTCTACACATTCTTGACTTGCTTGCATCATTTAAAAGTATTCTAGATTGTACATAGATTAAGTAAAATTGTAGGAACTGATAACAGTTACTGAACTGATTATGGTTAGCTTATGTGGGAATTCTGCCAAAAGCCTGTTCACAATACCAATTTACTGCCTGCATTTTTTTCAACCACACTTACAATAGCTAAAGAGCTACATTTTACTGAGCTACAATAAAGGAAAGTACAGTGGTAAAAATTCAGAAGTTATAAAGTTTGAACCTTCAGTTTCAAAATTTCCCACTTTGGATTTTGAGATAAAAACTTTGTAAATATTTCAGGTTTTGCATTACATTTCCCTCATTTTGTGGCACACAGAGCCATCTCTCCGGGCATACCAGCCATTGCTCTTCCAGGTTCTGGCACACACACGTGCACCAGCCCGCTGGTCTTCGCATGCGCATGCGTGCCAGAAACTGGAAGACCAGGTGGCCAGTGGTGTCAGAAACTGGAAGCTCAGCTTCCCGGCGCATGCATACGCACCAGAGAGCTACTCTTCTGGTTTCCAGCACTCCCCCCACATGTGGTCCCATTTCGGCACTTGGTGCCAAAAAGGTTCAGCAACACTGATCTATATATTTAATGTACATTAAATGTAGAAATCTAATGTAGTAAACCAGCAGGATTTTTATGCACACAGATAAGGAACAGATAGCAATAGCAATAGCGCTTAGATTTCTGCACCTAAGATTTTTTTCTGCCATCAGTTTTCCATGTTTCTGTGTTTCTATCTGAATTCATTATATGCATTAGACATTGCAAGATATCCCAATTTGTAAAATGAAAGAGGAGGCATCCTTTAAAAAAAAACATGCAGGAGAGCCTTTCAATTTGTGTTCCATTTCCATTAAGGAGATGTGACAGTGAAACTGGTTGAAACTTGATGTACAGTATTATTTTGGAAAAAAGCTCTACTTGTTCCATGAGTGGCTTCCTTCTGGGTCAGCCTGCACAGAATCAGCCTCTCTGATTTTTTGTGCTCTTGGCAACTCACGGATAAGACTTTCTCCCCCAGTCTCTGGACTTTGTTCTCCCATATGATTAATTAAGTGTCTGACCTTGTCAAGTCAATTTTAAACAAGCACAGTTAAGTTTATTCACAGTAAATTATATCTACATTTTTTAAATCTTTTCTTTCAGGGACTTATGGGTAACAAAGGAGAGTCTAGAGATGTAAGTCAACCATTAGTTTGTGGTACCAGATCTTTTGTATTTCTTCATGTTGGAAAACTTTTTTCACTGTCTCTCTCTTTACTTTAAAGCACTGCACGCTGATACGCAACATCAAAGATAAATGCCGTAAGTCTATTTCTTTTTCCCCTGGTCTTGATGTAGTAGGCTTTTTGGTATAGATTATAAAGTAATTTCTTTCTTTTCCTTCTTTCTCTCTTATTATTATCCACAGCTTGCTGTTATGGTAAGTTCCTTTTAAATTACTCAATATCTGCAATCAGATGATAAAATGACATACACAACTTCTTTGAAAGACAAGCATTGAATTATTCACTGGTAAACTCTGTCCCTTCCTTTGGGGGTGGGGTGTAGAACTAATACCTTTTTTCTCATAACATTTATTTTTAATGTCCCTGGTTTCTGCAGGTCCAAAAGAATGTCCTGTTTATCCAACTGAATTGGCCTTTGCTCTTGATACTGCCGCTGGTGGAAGTGCAGACACTTTCAATAGAATGAAGGACACAGTAAAGTCAATTGTTAACAATATCACAATTACAGAAAGCAACTGCCCCAGAGGTGCCCGGGTAGCACTGGTTACATACAACAATGAAGTTACCACTGAGATACGTTTTGCTGACAGCAGAAAGAAGAAGGATTTGATCAAACAAATTGAGGACCTCCAATTTGTTCAGACCTCCAAACAACGTAGCTTAGAAACAGCCATGGCATTTGTGGCCAGGAATACTTTCAAGCGTGCACGTAGCGGCTTCCTTATGAGGAAAGTTGCTGTGTTCTTCACCAATGGGCCAACAAGAGCATCTCCAGAGTTGAATGAAGCAGTACTAAGACTCTACAATGCTGGAGTTGTACCTGTATTCCTTACAAACAGAGAAGACAGGGTCCTTACCAACGCATTACAGGTCTGCTTCCTTTTGGTTTTCTTCCCCCTGCACAATCTTTCCAGGATTCAATCAATCAATCAATTATAGGACTCAGGAATTCACTTCTGTCTTTCAGGAGCACTCAACAAAATGGCTTAATTTTGTTATTTTTTTTATATTGATTACTGTCCCTGGATCACTGAGCATACAATATTTTGGATTTGAAAAGGAAAAGGTTGCTTCAGAGTATTTGTAGCCATGTGCAGAGCACTTGTGGCCACTCCCTAAACTAAATGCGTCTTTTCCCCAAATTATGCTACAGCTGTGAGCAACAACCATTTAATCCTGGGAAAAGATGCTGCTGCATAGGGAGTTCATATATGAATGAATCAAACTTACATCTGTCAGCCTGAAAGTGTTGTGGTTTATCAGCAATAGCTAGGCAAAGTCTTAAAAGCAGCAGACAATGTAGATGTTCTTTTTGCCCAAGAAATGCTTACAAAACTTCCCTCAAAGGTGTTGTCTGAGCAAGGTAAAATAAAATAATCAAGATGGCAGCCACAATTGTGCAATTGAAGCTCTGCACTGATGTGACCATCATCTTGATTTTTTAAAACTCATATGCTATGGATGCCCATAAGACCATCCACAACAGGAGATTGTGACTGTTTTCAGAAAAGAGTAAAGGGCTGCCAATTACTGTAGCAGCTTTCTGTTTCTGTTTGTTTGTTTGTTTCCTAAGTTCAAAATAATAATTTGACTCTTGAGATCTACTGTATATTTGATATTCTATGTATCCAGTGAGACTTAATTTCTTCCTCCTGTATCTGTTAGTAATTTTTTTAAAAAAAACAGTCCTAAAGTTTAAGAAAAAGCGTATCATGTGGTGGTGGGGAATACCCTGAGGATGGGGAAGTTGGCAGAAATGACTGCGTATCCAAGCAGGAGCATCTGGCTTCTGATCATATAAACAGTTCTTTGGATATAAGCCATAAAGTCCATTAATAGTGTATGGCTGCTTCTTTATCAGTTGAAGCTGTCAGATCAGTATATACTGTGGATGAAGGAAGAGACTAAGGAGATGGCAATTATTATGTCATTGTTTTGAAAATGATGGCCTTGCACTCAGATTAATTAAAACATACGAAAACTTCTTTGCCACTGTGTGGCAACCTTTATTTTTGAAACTATCCTTAGAAGGATTAAAAGAAAAATTCTCAGACAATGATGGGAAACCTACATAGGACAGTAATTTGCTGAAATAGCTTCCTAATTTGAATAGCATCAAGTTAAGCACTCTTTTTCAAAGATGCATGTTGTCCTAGTTAAAATTATCCTACACAGGTTGTTCATTTCATAGTGCAGTCACATTAATTGGATTTTGTGCATGATCCAGTTTTTAAGATGTCGTTGTTGGCATCTCTCCGCCCTCCCCCATATTCTCTTCTGTCACTTCTACTAGGGCTCAAGATAACAATACATAATTCCTTCTCCATTTTATCATCACAATAGTTTTAGAAACTAGTTGGATTTGGACTTAATTCAAAGCCACTTCATGAGTTTTGTGGCTAAGTATATATTGTTAGTTTTTCACATCACATTTCTTGTGAGTAAGTTAATACGGGTGGTGGATAAGCCAAGAAGTTGTGATAGTTCATATTCAAGTCCTGGTCCACATGTTGTGAGTCCTATCCTCAGGTATTCTGGGGGTAAAGTAGGAGATAAAGAATGGGCAACCTGTTTGTTGCATCAAGTCTGAATTGGACTTTATGACAAATGCACATTCATGTTGAATCTTTCTCTCAATGATGCAGAAAGGTAGGCTTTGAATCTAAAAGGTAAATATATAGAACAATTTACAGAAATGTACTGAGAGCTGTATCATGTTCATGTGGAATTAAGAAAAGCTAGCCCCTTTCTTGGTACATTTTAGAGACCCTGGACAATTTAACAAACTCTTTTCAGAATTCCATTCACTACATGCTTCTCTTCTTGTTTTTAGATAAATAACACTGGTGGACAAGCTTTTGCATTTACTGGTGGCGCCGGTCAATTGGCTGCAACTCTTAGAAAAGTGTTCACATGCCATATTTGTCTAGGTAAAATATGCGACATTTTTTTTTGCTTGAAATATTTGTGTACTATGACAAAATAGATTTGTAACCAGTCTGCTTGAAGATTTTTGACAAAATTGGAGGGAACCGGGAAATTTGAGTGGGTTTTTTGTTGGTTTTAAGCTCTGCTATGTAAGGGCTGTGTTGTAGGACCATGGATGGACCTGCCTTCTTTTCAGTTTTGGACTTGATCAGAATGCCTTATGATGTCATGGTCATAAACCTTTCTGGAACCAGCTGTTCAGTCCAAGCAGGCTTTAAGAAACTTGTGAACAACTGTATTTGTTTTTTGACTGTTACTAAGGCTTCTTCTGTTTCTAATAGTGCTATACAAGGGACATTTTGTTTTTACATTTCCATTCTCATGATTATTCCCTATTGGTGTTGCTTTGGTAGTAATGAAATTTAAACCTACAATTAGCCTTGTTAAAGCAATACTACAATCTGCTCATAAGGCAGTCATTCAATTGGTCCCCATTCTAATGGAAAATTTTATGGTGGAAAAGAGCTGTGGTGGCGCAGTGGTTAGAATGCAGTACTGCTGGCTACTTCTGCTGATCACTGGCTACCAGCAGTTTGGCAGATCGAATCCCACCAGGCTCAAGGTTGACTCAGCCTTCCATCCTTCCAAGGTGGGTAAAATGAGAACCCAGATTGTTAGGGGCAATAGGCTGACTCTAGAGAGGGCTGTAAAGCACCGTGAAGTGGAATATAAGTGCTACTGCTATTGCTATTATGGGCCAGTCAAGGATTTCTAGACTCACTCTAAATAAATCCCTAAATATCTAAAACATTTTTAAATGCATAATTGGAAGGTACTAGATGCTTTGGTTTTTGGCACAAAGGAAGATTTGTATATCTTGCTGCTTATGTCCAATTGAAAGACAAAAAAAGGGCACTGCAAATATTAATTATGTAACAATTATATATTTATTTATCTAGATGTATGTGATCCTGATCCCAGCTGTGGTATCCAGAGGGCTGGCTTTGGCAGAGACAGACGGGCAGTTCCTACAGATGTTGACATTGATATAGCATTCATCCTGGATAGCTCTGAGAGTACCACTCAAATGCAGTTCAAAGAAATTAAGAGCTACATTTCATATATTGTAAATCAACTGGAAATTAGTTCTGATCCCAAGGTATCACAACATCATGCTAGGGTTGCCATTATCCAACATGCTCCTTTTGAATTTCAATCAAACACAAGCATATCTCCTGTCAAAGTTGAATTGTCACTCACAGATTATGGCCCAAGGGACAAATTAACAGATTTCATTCAGAACCAAATGTCACAATTGTATGGAACACGGGCTGTGGCGACTGCAGTAGACTATACAATGAGGCATATTTTTGAGAGTGCACCAAATCCCAGAGATCACAAAGTCATTGTTTTGATGATGACAGGAGGCATTGAAAAGGAAGAACTTGAACACCTTCAGAAAGTTATTGTAGAAGCTAAATGTAAGGGATATTTTGTTGTCATTATCGGCATTGGTAGGAATATTAATATTCCAAGTATCTACAGCTTGGCAAGTGAGCCTAATGATGTCTTCTTCAAATATGCTGATATGGCGTCAGAACTTCATGAAGAGCCATTGCTACGTTTTGGAAGCCTTTTACCATCCTTCATCAATAGTAAGTAGATGCTTAATCTGTCAGTGAAAGATAGGGAGTTAGAAGGGTTAGACCAAGGAAAATTTGAACCTGGAAAGGGAAACTTCCTTTTATCATTTTATAGTTTAGGGTGCAGGAGTCTACAGCAAAGAACAAGGTTGCAAAATAAACCTAAAACCATATGCTTGACTGAGTACTTCAATCAGCGTCTGCCATATATCTGTCTGTCTGTCTGTCTGTCTGTCTGTCCGTCCATCCACCCGCCCATCCATCCATCCATCCGTCCAACTTAGAAATTGCCCACTTCCTCCACAGAAGGAGTCTGGGTGGAATACAAAATATTAAACCATAAAAATTATATATTAAATTTAAAAAGAGGCAAAGATAGTTAACGTTCAATGTTAAAAATAAATTAAAAGATGTGGGGAGGGCCTTCAGGGCACTAAGCAGCCCCATAGCTGTGTGTTCCTTTGTGAGCCCCAAGCAAAACAGCAGAGCCTGAAATGAGAGATTTGGCTTGGATTAAGAGGATTACATGGATATTTAAATAAAACGTTTGTCAGCCAAATTGGATGCTTTGATCCTAGAATTGCAGGATCAGACAGATTTCTCTGAAAGGATTCCTAGATTTGTATTGATTAAAATAATTATTGTCAAACTTGGAATCATTAATCATTCTGAGTAAACACAACTTGCATGCATCTTAGATATCTCTTAATTCCTAGTTTCTCTGTTATAGATATTAAATTTGGAAAAAAATGTATCAGCGTATCTTTAAAGTATCCTGTTTCCTATTTAAACAAATAGCAAAGCCTTTAATTCTACCTAAAGAAAGGGCCTATGCTTCCTCAATTTCTATCTCTGTTTTCTTTTTTGCTTTCAAAATTATTAACAAGTAGCATTTAAAAATAGTAAGAAAATGACCATGCAGCTGTCTATCCAGACATATAATTTGAAACAGCAGAACAAAAAGCAGCACTTTAGTTCTTGATAGATTGATACCAAAAGAGAGCTCATGTAAGCTACTGCTATATATCTCTATATTAATAAAAGATAAGACATTGGGATACAACCAGCCAGGCAGCCGGGGGGGGGGGGGGCAGGGAGGGGGGGGCTGCTGAATTAGTTCAAGTTCTTATGTGGCTGCAACAGATCTAGAATTAACACCCCCATCCCAGCCCCTTAAGCTACACAGAGCTGTTATCTATTTGTTACCAGGCTGAGGATGAGAAATTCCTGTATAATGGGCAGAATTTAATAAAGCAGCAAGCTTGAACTCTACACATGTGGGTCTGATTGCTTATGGCTGACAGAATATTGCTAATTCTAAATAAGTGTAAGAATGTTTAAATAAAGACATGGTTTAAATTCCCATAATACGTTTGGAAAATGAGAAAATATTTATGCAAAAATTCTCCCTTATATTTTAGGTGAAAATACCTTTTACTTATCTCCAGATATCAGAAAAAAATGTGATTTGTTCCAGGGTGACCAGCCAATCAAAAAATTTGGCCAAAAACAACTGTAAGTCTTTATCATAATTTATCTTCATTGTCAGAAAGTAATTTTTCCTCCAGATACCAAGTTATCTATGAGAGAATGAGACCCCTCTCTTCATTATCCTTGTCATGTTATCTCTATTTTTCAATTGTATTGATTATGTTGTAGTTTATTTGCTTGATTGTTGTGAGGCACCCAGTCATTGTGAATTGTGGCATACAAATTTAATAAAGTATTAAATTATTATTATTCATCACACAATCAGCCAGATGTTCAGACTGGGTTTAGCATTTTTGTCTACCTATCAAGTCCTTACCAAGGACCTGGGATAGGCAAATCTGGATACTTAATGTTGTTACACATATCACCGCAGGATGGAAGCTGTTTCAAGTAAAGCTGCCTTCTGCAATTGACTGATGGCAAATTTGTCAATGCCTATGGTGTTCAAGTGGTGCTCCAGTTGTTTTGGGACTGCACCCAAGGCACGTATTACTATCGGTACTACCCTTGCTTGCCTTTGCCATAGTCGTTCTATTTCTATTTGTAGGACTTTGTATTTTGTTATTTTCTCCAGTTCTTTCTCTTCTATTCTGTTGTCTTCCAGTACTGCCACATCGACTATTCAGACTAATAATAATAATAATAATAATAATAATAATTATTATTATTATTATTATTATTATTATTATTATATCTGGGGATTGAAGGGGCAATAAATATGGGTTTAGAGCAATATAAACTTGTTTCTTATATGGGTAGAAAGCAGTATCCCCATTTGACCCTGTCCTTGTCTCATCGCCAACTCTTAAGGCAGGGGTCTTCAAACTTGACAGCTTTCAGACTTGTGGACTACACCTCCCAGAATTCCTCCTTTAGTCATGTTAGCTCAGGAATTCTGGGAGTTGAAGTCCACAAGTCTTAAACTTGCCAAGTTTAAAGACCTTTGTCTTCAAACAGTTGTATTTAAATTATCTTTAATTGTACAGTATTTAGATGTCCAGGGTTTAAAGCATTGTTTTTCTTTTCAAGCCAATGGCATTCAGTGATGGCTGCAAGTTCTATAAAAGCTACTATGTTCTGTAAGCACTCTATCAAAGACTAAGTCTGGTGACTAATAATACATGAGAGTTCTTATTCTTCCTTATAAGCTGATGTAGGCTTACCTCTCGCCCTGTCTCTTGTCTATGTAAAGAAAGAAAAAAGAAGGACAGTAAATTCCTAAACATAACCAATGCTTGTGAAATTGGCAACCTTTGTGATGCTGATCTTTTTTTTCCTAACACCCCCCACCCCTCCCCACTCAAGTATTCAGATTGGATATGGCAGAATGGGTCATCGGAAGGAATGGTTGGATAGAGTCCTGGAATCTGGCTCTCCCCATCCCTGATGCTGTGCTTGAATTGTGGATATTTTACTTGTGTGGCTGATGATTTGCTGAAAAGGGAGAGCAGCACATTCCCAAGAGTCAAGCAGATGTTTTGTCTCTTGCACACTGCACGGGCATGATGAGGACAGTCCCATTTAGCATTGGGTCAGAATAGACTAAAGCAGTGGTGGGATTCAGCCAGTTCTCACCACTTCAGGAGAACCGGTTGTTAACTTTCTGAGCAGTTTGGTGAACTGGTTGTTGGAAGAAATCATTAGGGCAGAGAACCAGTTGTTAAATTATTTGAATCCCACCACTGGAATAAAGGAACATGAGTTGGAGCAGCAGGATAGTTTGGCAGGATGACTGGAGAACTCTTTTTTTAAAATTGGTTTTTAAAACAAACATAAACAAACAAAACATAAAAACATCAAATTATCTTCCATATATGTACATACAGTGTGCCGGTTTATTTACAGATTGTTTTGTGCTTCCATTTCATAGTCTTCAATTATAATTACATTGTATATAATCTCGTATTTTCAATCAATATATTAAATACATTAATATCATTATTAATCAATCATTTGACTATACTTTCATTCATTCATGTTTTCCAAAATGATCATATTTTACTTAATTTGTTTTATAACAATTCAATTATCATCCCAGATCTATCCTAGAATCATTTTGTAGATATAATAAGAAAAGAATACATCTTTATATATTTATTATTTTCTAAAAGTCTACATATTTCATTACTATATTTTATTGTCTAACCATTGATAGAATAGATCCCAAATTTTATAAAATTGTTTATCATCTTGTTCTCTAATTTCAAATGTCAATCTACTCATTTCAGCACATTCCAATATTTTCCTAATGATTTCCTCCTGTGATGGTATTTTCTCATTTTTCCAGTTTTTAGCAAATACAATCCTAGCCGCTGTTAATACATTTACAGTCGGGTGTTTCAAGTCTTTACTATATATTTCAGGTAAAATTCCCAATAAAAATATTTCTGGTTTCAAATCTGTATGCTTTTTTGTCATTTTTTCCAACCACGTGTGGATTTTAGTCCAGTATTTTTTAGCATCCGCACAAGTCCACCACATATGAGCCAGGTATCTGATGACATTTCCAACATTTTTCGGATTTATTCTTGAACATTCTTGCTATTCTTTTCGGGGGGAAATGCCACTTGTAAAATATCTTATACAAATTTTCTTTATATGTTGTTGATATTGTCAATTTTGAGACCACAATTTTTGCCATTTCTCTAGATCGATCCCATATCCAAAATTCTTCCCCCAAGCAATCATAGTTTCTTTAACTTGTTCTTCTTCTAGTTTAATTTCTAATAAATATCCATACAATTTTTTAATCACCTTTTCATCAGTACCTGTCAAAATCATAGCTAAGTCAGTCAGTTTATCATAGAAACCTTCTGTTTTAGAATCTTTATCATACATTGAATGTATTTGCGCATATGAAAACCAATTCATCTTTATTCCTTGTTCCTCTAGTTTTTGTATAGATTTAAGTTCACCCTTTTCATTCAATATTTCACCATATCTAACTGTTTGTTCCTTTTTATATATTATAGGATAAGAAAATGCTTCAATAGTCGATAGCCAGACTGGAATTTTCAAATAACATTGTCTTTTAATCTTCTCCCAATTTAACCACAGAGACTCCCGTATATAATGTCTTCTAAAGTACCCCTGTGTTTTAGTTCCTTTATACCATAAAAAAGCATGCCACCCCAACAACAGGTCATGTCCTTCTAATGTCAACAATCTAGTATTTCTTAATGTTATCCATTCCTTAACCCACATCAAATTTGTAGCTTGGTAATACAACTCCCAATTAGGCAAACCAAATCCTCCTCTTATTCTAGCATCTTGCAAAAGTTTTAACTTTATTCTCGCTTTCTTACTTTGCCATATATATTTCAACACAATTTTATTTAAATCTTCAAAGTAGTCTTTTCCAAGCCTAGTTGGGATTGTTTGAAACAAATATTAAATTCTGGGTAATATATTCATCTTGATTGTTGATATTCTCCCTATTAATGACAGTTGTAAATTTTCCCATTTCTCCAGATCTAGCGCTATCTGCTGTTTAAGTTTGATATAATTATTCTCTTTTAGTGTACTGCATCTTGCTGTCAAGTATATCCCCAAGTACTTGATCTTATTCATGACCTGAATTTTCAATAGGTCTGCCAATTCTTCCTTTTGTCTTGATAGCATATTCTTTGTCAAGATCTTTGTCTTATCTTTATTTATTTTCAAACCAGACATCTTTCCATATGTCTCTATCTTTTCTATCAATTTTGATGCTGTTTTTCTAGTGGGTCTTCTAAGATAAAAACCAGGTCTTCTGCAAATGCTTGTAACTTAAATTTTTCCTTTTTAATTTTCATCCCTTTTATATTCTTTTCATCTCTAATATTTCTGTTTAGCACTTCCAAAGTTAACACAAACAACAAAGGTGATAGTGGGCACCCTTGTCTTGTTCCTTTTCTTATATCGATAGATTCTGTCAGTTCTCTTTGCTCTCTGATTATGATATATAGCTTCTATTGCTTGAATAAATTTTCTAGCAAAGCCTATCTGTTCCAGCAGTAATAACATGAATCGCCAATTCACATCATCAAATGCCTTCTGTGCATCTAGAAATATCAAAGCCATTTGTTTTTCAGGATGTGCCACGTAGTATTCCAGTGTCCAAGATTACTCTTATATTGTCTTTGATTTGTCTCTTTGACAGAAATCCATTTTGGTCAGGATGGATAAAATGATTTAAATATTTTTTAAGTCTTTCTGCCAATATTGAAGAAAATATTTTATAATCTGTGTTTAGTAGGGAGCTAGGTCTATAATTCTTGATTTGTAATGAATCGGTCTCCTCTTTTGGAACAAGTTTGATATAAGCTTCTGACCATGATTTAGGTGTCCTCTTCTTTAACATAACTTTATTCATAACTTCTAGCAGTGAAAAATTCAATGATTCTTGTAATGTTTTGTAAAATTCTGCCGGAAGTCCATCTGGGCCTGCTGCCTTTCCATTATTTTGTTTCTTAAGTGCATCATCGTTATATTGTTTTCTAACATTGTTTCAATCTCTTTAGGTATCTGGGGTAAATTAGCATTCTGTAAATACTGTTTAACTCTTTCCTCATCAATATTCTCTTGTATGTATAGTTTCCCATAATAATCTTGAATCCTTCTTCTCTTTACTACCCTAGCAAACTTGGCCTTGGTCATCTATTAATTGCTATATTTTCCATGATTCTTTCTCCTTTCTCAATTTATATGCTAACCATATACCTGGTTTATTTGCATCTTCAAAATAGTTCTGTTTGGCACCTCTAATTTTTTGTGCTAATTCTTCTTTTTCTCTTAGACCCATTTTATATTTGGTTATATCCATTTTTAACTTAATGTCCTTTCTCTGTGGCATTTTCTGTAGCTTTTTTTCGAGTCCTTTATACTCATCTTCTAATGCCTTAGAGGCTAATCTTTTTATGGTATTTCTTTTCCTTGCATAGTCTATTATCAAGCCTCTAACATATGCCTTCATTGTATCCCATACATTCTGGATTGATGTATCTTCTTTTTTGTTTTCTCCAAAGAAAAAGGCCAATTCTTTCTCCATCCACTGTGTGAAGTCTTTTCCCTTTAAAATAGTATTATTTAACGTCCATCTAGATCTTCTTCTTTGTCCTTTCCATTTAATTGTCATTGGATTGTGATCTGCCCAAGTACTTGTTTCAATATTTATTTCTTGAATATTAGTTAACAATTCTGTTGACATCCATATCATATCTATTCTGGACCATGATAAGTGTCTATTTGAGTAGAAGGTGTATTGTTTAGTTTTAGCATTTCTTTCTCTCGATGTATCTTTTAAGTTTATGTCATCTACCATTTTAAAAAAATATTTAGGGAGAGTCTTTCTATTTTGCTTTATTGTTTTCTGTGCTGTGTAGTCCAGTTTATTGTCTACAATTCCATTAAAATCTCCCATCATAATTATATTAACATAGTCCAATTCAACTATTTTCATATGTAATTTTTTATAGAATTCTTCTTGTTTGTCGTTTGGGGCATAAATTGCAATCAGGAGTGTTTTCATATTATTGTCCATTTCCACCATTAATATTCTTCCATTGTCATCAGTATAAATCAATTTCACTGAGATGGTCTCTTTAATATATAAAACCACTCCTCTTTTCTTACATTGTGTCAAGGAAGTGAATATTTTCCCTAATTTTGGCTGAATCAACAATTGTTCATATTGTTTTTTAATATGTACTTCTTGTAGGCAGATTATATCCAATTTTAATTTCTCTAATTTATGAAAGATTTTCCTTCTTTTAACGGCTGAGTTAAGTCCATTTATATTAATTGCAATCAATTTTTTTTTCTTCCATGGTTATATTTTGTAATTAGGTTTAACAGCTCTCGTGGATCTTGGTTCACGCTGTTCTTTGGCTTCCTCCTTTCCACCTACTGCACCTTCTTCTTTTTCAGTCGTCATTTGGGAGTCCTTCTTGGAATTCAATTAGTAAAATTTCTTTTTCTGCCTCTTCCTCCCCTCTGAAAAATTCTGTGTAAAATGATTCAGCTTTCTCAATTGAGTCAATTCTATATCTCTGTTCTTGCCATGTAAACATTAAACCTTCTGGAATCAGTCATCTATAGTTCACCTCTATTTTAAGTAATAATTTGGTCAAGAATCGGTATTCCCTTCTCATCTCTCTCACTCTTCTGAGTACTTGTTTCAAGACCACAATCTCCTTATCTTTGTATTTCAATGTTTTCTCTCTTGCCACTTGTAATATTTGTGTTTTAATGGCTTTCTTTGTAAATCTGATGTGAACTTCTCTTGGTAAGCTATTTCTCATCACATATCTTGTGAAGACTCGATAAACCTCATCTATTCCATCCATCATCTTCTCTTCAGTTATTTCCAAAGCTTCAGCCAATATTTCTATCATTATCTCAGCTAGATTTTGTCCTTTTTCTTCCTCTATGTTTTGAAATCTAAGATAAAATTCTGATCTGTCCATCTCCCATCTCAGCATACCACTTTTATCTTGTTCAACCACAGTTAATCTGTTATCAATGTCTCCAATCTTCTTATCTCTTTGTTTATCTTCTTCAATTTTTTGGAATCTCTCATCATACTTCATCATCATTTGTTGGATGTTCTCCACTTTTTCATCGGTTTTCCTTGTTCTTTGTTCAATGTTCTCTATTCTCTTTTCAATATTCTCTGATCTTGTTTGAATATTTTGAATTCCTTGCATAATCATATGCACCGTCACTTTTTCTTGTTCTTTTTCTTGTCTTAATATTGTCTGTATTGAACGTTGTCTCCAGATGGTGGAGAGGAAGAAGTGGAAGTTGAAGAACCAGGAGCTGTTAATTTCCTATTCATTTTGAGGAGTTCAAAATCTTCAGGTTCTTCTAGACCTTAATCCAATTGTAAAATAACCAATTGCAGTTCCAAATAAAAATAGTAGGAAAAAAGTAGGAAAATAGTAAGAAAAGAGAAGCCAAATAGTAATAATAATAGAAAAAGAAGAAAAAATTTCTTCAGGTTCTTGTATACCTTAATCCAATTGGTTGGTTAGATGACAGTAAAAATTCAAAAATGAAGGAAAAGACCATAAACACACCATGAACACACACACACACACACACACACACACACACACACACACAAAAGTTGTAAAATCCTAAAAAAGGCAAAAAAGTGAAGAAAAAGGCTAAAAAAGAAAGGAAAAATTCTTCAGGTTGTTCAACACCTTAATCCAATTAAGAGGTCTCAAATATAAAAGTATGCATAAAAATAAACCAAAAAGAAAAAGAAAAAAGACCAATATGGAAGGTAGATGGAAAGACAAAAACACCAGGAAGGGAAAGAGAAGAAAAAGGCTACTCCCTTAAAAAGAAAAGGAAGGGAAACATTAATACTAAAGCTTTTCCTTTAAAATAAAAAGCAGATGTAGAAATTTAACTTCCAAATACAAGAAAAAAAACAAAAAAAACAAAGACAAGTTCCAGAGAGCCAAAAATCCAAATAGCTATTGCAAAAAAAAAAAAAAACCTGATGAGGAGGGGTAGCGCAGTTCAAAAAGAATAAAAAGAGCACACAGCACTTTGTTTGATTATCCAAGGCTCTTGTTATAACTCTCTTCTCCGAAGACTTATCACCTTTTCTTTTCCTAAGCTTCAACACCAGACTCCAGCTGTTGATAGAAACCAAGAAGAGCACCTGTAATAATACTCTCCCGTGCTCTTCCCTCTATCTTATCAAGCAGGCAATGTCCTTGAAACAAAGTCTCAGTTTTTTCACAAGTTTGTCTGGTCAAAAGAAAAATTGAATATTTCCAAGCCTCTAGTTGGCAGTTTTACAAAGTTTCTTTAACTTTCACTTTCCCCCTTCTTTTCCAAGCAAAATATAATAAGAATTAATTAAAAAAAAGAAAAAGATATTTAAAAAAATAACTAAAAGGGAATCTCTGACTTAAAATATTATAAAATCAAAAAGGAGAGAATATATAAAAAGAAGAAAAAAACCAGTCCAGTTTTGAAATATAAGATCATGTGTAGGAAATCCAGCAATGAGAAAAAAAATATTACTTTGACATTCCTATTTAAAATCGCCGCTTAATCACTTCTGTCAAAACTTTTACAGATTCTTTCTTTCCCTTAAGGTGTCCTTTCAAGTCTTAAAATAAAGAAAAAGTTCTCACCAAACCGGCACACTCTCTGTTTCCGTTCTCTTTTGTTTCCGAGCTGTCCCAACTTCAGCAGCTTTAATGGCTGCCTCTTTGCTGCTGGCAAAAAGAGCTTCTCCTGGATCTACCAGGGACTTTGCGATATCCCTGGGATCGACAGGATGCGCTCTTTACATTCACCATCTCTTCGGGAAGGTTTGGATCCAGTTGGACCATCCAGGAGCAAAGATATTGGCTGCAGTCTCAGATCTCCAAGATCGCATGCCGTATCGTCGCGACGCCAGCTCTGCCCTCTCCCTGACTGGAGAACTCTTTAACTCAAGGGTCTCTAACCTTGGGCACTTTAAGACTTGTGGACTTCAACTTCCAGAATGGGAGCTGAAGTCCACAAGTCTTAAAGTGCCCAAGGTTGGAGATCCCTGCTTATTCATCAACAGGAAAAAGCTTATTTTGTAGTCCTGATTACTTCAGCTTTCGAATTTCTCCTCTGGTGGTCAATTGGATCAACAGGAGACACTTCCACAGGTCTGTTTGGGAAGCTATCACAGATAGCTTTTAATCAGAACAATCACTTCACCAACTGTTGGAAGTACAGTATTTTTAAGATGATCACTTGTTCTTTCAGATTTGAAGATGTATTCATATATTAGAAAATATACCAGAAAATACTCATATACACCTATACTAGGAAATGTCCCCATCTAGAAAATCCCATATACTTTTCTGACCAAATTTACTTTTCAAGAACAGGTACTAGGGGCATCTTAATAAAATTACTAAATTTCGGATAAAGTGGTGCAATAAATTTGCTAAAAACTGTAAAGTATTTTTGTTCAAAAAGGAACATTAGATTTTTTTTTAAAGCGGCTATCCTAAATATCTCTACCAAACAAGTGCAAAAGAGTGCTGATGAAAATTTTGAAACAAAGACTTGATTATTTACAGTGTGCATAACTGTTTCTGTTTCTTCAATCAGAAATATTCCAAATAATGTTACTGTCACACCTGTTGTAACAGAAAAATTGGAAGGTAGGTACATTTTCCTGCCTAAATGTTTTACTTTGCAATAATTTGCTATTTGCTGTTTTGTTTACAAAAGATTCCTAGGTTTAACTTCAAATACCATATCTTTGCTTCAGTAAAAGAGAGATGTATGAAAAGAAGCCCTGCAGATTATATTTAAAAATAATAATTGAAAAAGCCGCAAGCAGCGGGAATGGATAATATTTTTTTACAGAGGAAAACAGCTGGAAGTGGAAAAAGTTGAGGTTTCCTCAGCAACTCTTTTCAGTGATTACATCTTCAGGAGGCTTTTTTTCCATTAAAACAAAATAAAAAGAAATTGTGGGTTTGCTCACATATAATCTTAAATGTAGTTTGTATTTAATGCATTTAATTACAGCCTCTTTTTGTGTTTTCGAACATGAAATGTGATCTGTTCATTTTCTATGCCTATTAGCAGGCAGGTCTTAAGTAAAAGATTTACAAAATAAGTGTATGTTAGACTTCCTGTCAAAGGGCCCTGGAAATGTTTGCAATCTTTTTTACATTGCAAATAGTACACAGTTCCACATGCAATTAAAGGTTCTAGCACATTGGGATATTCTTAGTTTATTATAGAGATTTGTTTCACTTTCCCCGTTGAGGGATTTTTGTGTTACTTACTCTAGGATCAACTAACTTTTCTTTTAATGAATGATATCTTTTTTAATATGACTTGTCCTGAATTCCAAATCTATTAATTTTGTTCTTTTACTAGTTTTTTTTTTCTTCAACAGTGATTAAAAATAATGGAGAAGTCAAGATAACTGATATAACTGAAAACAGTGCTAAGCTGCATTGGATGATTCCTGAGCCTCAGAAAGTCTATACCTATCACATCACAGTCACCTCAGCACATGACCACTCCTTGGTTGTGAAGCTTAATTTAACTAGCAATGAAAGAGTCATTGGAGGTCTTCAGAGTGGAGAAAAGTATGATGTTACTATCACAGGCTACCATAATGCCCAGGCCAAAGCTACTTATAGAGGAACATTTAATACAAGTAAGTTATCTTGGGTATTGGAATTAAGTGCACTGTTTTTTCTAACAATTTCAGATTTTGGACATACGAAGAAGCAAATCAGTACATTGTCCTAATAATAATGCACATAAACTGATTAATGCTATGTATTTGGTTCTAATTTTTTTAAGCAACACTATATGCTATAGATTTTATACAGTAGGAGAAAAAGATAGTATTGTAACAATTTGATGAATATTGATCTGTGACTTCCAAGAGTCTATTCAGAAGGAATAATGCTCTCTTCCTGCATTTTTACATTGCTGGAGCATGATTTCTAGTGAGAAATATATTTCTGAATGAAGTGCCTGATTTGAGCACCACCTTTGTTAAGAACCGTTTTATATTTCAGGCAAGTTTGCTCAAAACGTCTTTTAAAAAGGGAGCTCATAATAACTAATCATAAGTGGATTACTGAATATAGTCAGGTGTTACATAATATTCAAAATATATACCCAGGGGTGGGATTCTACCAGTTCTCACCTATTCGGTAGAACCGGTTGTTAACATTCTAAGCAGTTCGGAGAACCGGTTGTTAGAAGAAATTACTGGCCTAATCCTGTAAGGAAGGCAGGAAGGAAATATTCTGGTGTTGCTTACAGAAACTGCCTCTCTGTTAACCCTTATTACATTCTTGGCAGGACTAGACTTCCTGTCTCTGGAACTTCTCTGGCGTTTTTTCCCCTCCTTTGCCGGTACTTTGTTTGTGTGGAGTTCAAAGTTACAATGGCACTGAAAAAAGTGACTTATGACCATTTTTCACACTTATGACTATTGCAACATCCCCACAGTCATGAGAGTCCAGGCGAGGAGATGCGTGCCTTGATGTGAGTGATATTGAGTTGGCCACACCCAGCCAATAACATGACCACCAAGCCATTTCCACCCAGTCACATGACCACCAAGCCATGTCCACCACCTAAGCCACGCCCAAAGAACCGGTTGTTAAAAATTTGAATCCCACACCTGTATATTATTATATTTCCCTGATTTTAATTGATTCCTAGGCACTGTGCTTTCTAAAATCGTAATATTAAAACACACGATAGCTTTCTTGTTCTTTATGCATCATTATATATAAAGCTGAAGAAGTGTTGTGTGCAATGCCTCAATCAGAATGGACATAAGTAAAAAAGTTTATTGCTGTGATTTGAGTCCTCCTGAGCCCACCCTCACAATTGCTTGGCTTGCTTTCTACAGAGAGCATGCCAGGAGCCAAGATCCCTTCAGCAGGAACAGCAGCAGTAGCAGCAGCAACCAATGTAATGGTGAACACTGAACCTTTGGAAGTCCCTGAAAAAGGTGAGTCCAAGCTATGAAAGACGTCAAAGGTGTGAGAAATGAAAGTTTGGATGGATTAAACCAGCAGTCCCAAAACTTTTGGGTGCCAGGGACCAATTTGATGCAGAGAGGTTTTTCTGTAGACGAGGGGGGGCGTGGTTTTGCATGCTGCCTGCACCCGGCGTATAGGGCTGTTGGCCCAGACCAGTTTCTGGCATGTTGCAGACCTGTGCCAGTCCACAGACCAGGGGTTGGGGACTCCTGGATTAAACTGTGTTCTAGACAGAACATCTAAAGTGGCACCAACATGATATACTACCTATAACAAAGGATACTGGTTGATTTTTGTGGAACAGTAAAATATAAAAACTAAATGGTAAAGATTATGAACCAGGGAACTTTTTATCCCAAAGTAAGTGGCAAATAGATTCATGATTATGAACCCCAGATGCCCCACGCTTTATACCAGTTTTCATTAGCTAAAGTCAGCAAGTAGTAGTATTATTGTTCGTTCTCAGTGAAGCATGACAGGATTGTAGAAATTAAAGCTGGATTCTAATACTGGGTGATTTTGAAAATTCCAAAAGAGCTAAGAGGATGCTCAAATGAAATGTACCATATTGTACATCTCTTCTGTGGTGAGATGCATTAGTTCCTTGTATGTATGTATGTATGTATGTATGTATGTATGTATGCATGCTTTTTATATTGCATGAAGGCATGTGAAAAGGAAGAATACCTAGTTTTGCACAACCCTACAATAGTTTTTCAGGAAAAATACCCACAATTACACTGTTTACCAATTCTTTGACATTAGTAATGGTAGGATGTTCTTCAGCATTGCAAAGTTTAAAGCTTTAGAAAACTTGTAAATAAAAAAATCCAAGGAACACATTGCATTTCTCCAGTGATTACAGCTAGGGAGACTTGATCTGCTGTCTTAACAATCTTTTTCCCAAAAGAAGGCCTATCACTACTGTTCTAGTAATACTGCCCATTTGCATTTTGAAAGGCAAATATTGGCTCATTCACTCCATCAGCAGACAATGATTTAGCTTCATATCCTGCAACTGTGCAGCACTTTGGTTTCATTCCAAAAAGATGCTTCAGAGTGCACATTGGCATGAATGTATCTGTATCTGAGTTCTTTCAAAGTAGCCATGTCTTACCTTATGCTATGTAAATTGGTAGTTGCATAGGGCAGCTGTGCGACAGACATCTGTTTTAAAGAGTTGCAGTCATGTGCTGTGTTCATGTATCAAGGGTTCATTTTTAAAATATTTCCAAAGCCCTGCCAGCCCTAATAGCCCATCACCCTAGTCATCCTAGCATAAAATGTTTCTGAGGGTAATGGAAAATATATTTTCTTATGGCTCATTGGAAAAGTCTGAGTTACATGATGTTGTGTCACTGTAAAATCCTGTGCTCATTTCTTTGCCATGTGTCTTAGCTCAAGTATTTATTTTTGTAACAAACCATTAACAAATCACTGTGCTAAATCAGTTATTAACAATATGTAGATAATTCACATTTGTTCTGAATGTATGATTGTTGTGTTAATTTTTTGTTATAATAATTTTATGTTAATATGACAAGTTTTGTTTGGTGCCACTCTGATTTGCCTGCTCATAAGATTTTTAAAAACTATAGTAGATAATATAATTTTACAAAACTAAGGTGTGTTGAATTGATACTGGATTTTTTATTTTTCAAACTCTGATGTTATCTTTATTGCTTACAGTATTTGAACATCCTTGTATACTGTCCATTAACAGGAAAGATATGCGCCATATAATTTTTTCAAATTTCAGATTCAAACATGTAGTTTATCTTGCTTTGTTTTAGCTTCCCACAATCTATTGTTTCTGGGGGGGTTTTCTGTTTTTTTTTCTATTGCATATTATGAATTCTGGCCTGAATTACCATGCCAGACATTTCTAATAATGTTCATGATTGGGGTAGAACTCAAATTTTTTAAAATCTGCAAACTTCTGCAAGACCATATGAAAAAAATACTAGGATTTTCTTTCATTCAAAATTACAACTGAAGGTTTGATGAAAGCTACTAGATATATATCTTCATACAGGCTACCCATCAGTGCTGTTTTGAATATGCTATTCCGTTTTATGAAGTTAATCATAGAAAAATGTAGAAAACTAAATCCTTATAAGAGATAAATTTTGAAAGACAGTTTTGAAAATGTTGAGCTTTGCAAAGCTTTAGTTGGAAATTGGTGGAGATATCTTGCCCCCAGATATGGTCGATTTTACATATTTGCATTACAGACTAATTTCTTTAATCGTTTTCATCTTTGTCTAATTCCATCATTCTTGTCTTGTTAATGTGTATAATTGCACTTATTTTCTGTTACCAATATTCAGCCTTTATGACACAGTTGTTGCAGCACTGAACTGGTTCTTCAAAATCTCTTGTCCTCGTCTAATTTAACATCTTTTCAACTATTCTTTTACAAGAGAGCCATGTAAATTTTATGTAATTATGGCAACCCTTTTCCTTCGGACTTCTATTCACCTACAAAGGTGAAAATCCCCTGTAGTCACATCATATTGTTTCTGAAGATACCATGACATGATTTTGGGTTGGAGGCAGTAGGAAACGGTGTGCGTTTGTGTGTGTCTATGTGCTCATGTGTACTCTTCCAAATGGCTATGGGGACTGCTTTGCTGAATAGCCTATGTTTTTGAGACGTGATAATGCTTTATTATGCATCCAAGAGGAAGGAATAAACTTCAGTGCCAATGTAGAAAACAAAATATAAAGTAAAGGATACAAGCATGTCAAGTTACAGATAGTCCTTGACTTACAACTATTTGTTTAATGACGTTCAAAATTACTATGATCCTGAAAAAAGTGACGGGACCTTTTTCACACTTACGACTGTTGCAGCATCCCCATGGTCATGTGGTCAAAATTGGAGCACTTGGCAACTGGCATGTATTTAGGACACTTGCACAGTCCCAGGATCAGGTGATCACCATTTGTAACCTTCCCAGCCAGCTTCCGAAAAGCAAAGTTAATGGGAGGGAAGCCAGGTTCACTTAATGACTGCATGATCCACTTAACAACTGCAGTGATTTGTGGCAAAAGGGATGCAAAATGGGCCAAAATTCACTTAAAAGCTGCCTTGCTTAAAATTCACTTAAAAGCTGCCTTGCTTAGCAATAGAGATTTTGGACTCAATTTTTTTTACAAGTCGAAGACTAGCGGTAAGGTGAATAAAATGATTTTAAAAATTCTATGACCAACTTCATTGAAAGAGCCGTTTTCTATACAATATATCAACCGCTAATTAATTATTCTGTTATTTTTGTTTTTAAAAATCTCTTTTTTCCCCTGAACTTAGATTTAGGTTACACCATTGTCTAATTCTAACACAATTAAGGTCTTATTCAAATAATCCTATCCAACCTTAATCCTCCAAACAACAGCTACTTTGCTTTTTGTTTTGAGAAGAGCCTGGGAGTCTCAGCTCTTGCCAATCGATAAGACTTTAGGATTGTAAATTCAGTTTCCTTCTCCTGGCAAGTACTTTAAAAGCATGATAGTGCCACCGAAAGCACTTCAGGCAACAGCAGACAAATTCACAGTGTAGCTTAATGGTCAACTTCCTTGCAAGCTCTGAGTTCACAGACATGCCCCTTCTAGGTGGCCGGTTTGTCCTCAGTTGACAGTATAGCGAATGCTGACATCAGTACACTACTAGCCCTTAATCTAGAAGGCCAACAAATCGAACTAAGTGGACAGGAAGTAGCATAAAGGCTCCACAGGGAAAGATGTGTTGAAATTCACTTTCCAAAACTAAGAAGGCCACAGGTCTTGTAAGAAGGGTATTATTTGTACTAAGGGTAGGATTGGCCCATTGGTGATAAAATAAGAACAGTGTAATTTGAGGAAACAACCATACAGTTCCAGTGGCTTGTGAGATTTGTGACTATGTCCTCTTTGCATTTTCCCCACTCTGCCTTTTATATTTCTGACTGCTACTCTGTAGTGGATTTGGCTAATGACTTAACAGAAGCATGCAGAAATGTAGCACTTTTACAGTCCATCTACATAAGACATGAGCCAATGGAGTATTTATACTCATGCGCAAGCTGCCTGGCATATCTGTGATTTTATTAGGAGTGCAAGGTTATTATTTTCCATATAGTTTCTGTAAAAATTATTAGTGAAAGTTTGTATTCTACATTCTTTTCGCTTGTTGAAAATGTTTTTTGTTTTTGTTTTGTTGGCATCTTGTGCCTTTTTCTGAAGCTTTTAATATTTTCAGGATCATTTAACCTTTGCACATGTTGAAATTCAAATTTAACAGATCCTTGCTTACTGGACCTTGACATGGGCACGCAGTGCAAGGAGTATCAGGTTAAGTGGTTCTTTGACTACAAAAACGAGATCTGCACCCAGGTTTGGTATGGTGGGTGTGGCGGTAATGCCAATAGATTTGAGACAGAAGCTGACTGCATTAGCAGATGTGTGAAGCCATGTAAGTACTCAAATAGGATTAACCCATTTTGTACTTTCAATATTATGAAACAAAGTTTCCAAGCAGATGGGAAAAATAGTTTAAACACAAATTCCACACACTTTTTCTCTACAGCAGATGAGAAAGACATGCAGCTTCCTGTTCTTGAGAAAAGTCATTTGTCAGGTAAAGTCAGAAATGGAGAGGATTGTACTTCTGACTATTTGTCCTAAAACTGTGTCTTGAATGCTTGTCATGGCCACTGGCCAAAGATAACCATACAGTGTGCCTTTATGTTGCTTTTTCACAATAATCATCCCAAATTTTCTCTGTCTCTGTTTGCATGCAACCTTAATATCTAAAAAGAAATCCCAATGTTAGTGTAAAAATATTGTAGAATGGAGCTACAATTTATTTATTTCCCAAATGGGAAATCATCTGGCAGTCTCAGTTGCCAAAAAGTGCTTCCTTAAGAATGGCAGACAAATTCATAATGTAGCTTTATCTTTGTGGCAGGAAATGGTGCCTGCATCTGGGGTGCAAAAATCCAGGTGACCACAAAGTTGTACCAAGAATACAGGGATTTTTTTTCCAGACCAAATACAGTTACCCTAGTTAATAGGAACATTTTGATTTTTATTTTATTTTTAATTGACACTTCTTTCAGTTCTTTTTACTGACTACCTATAGACTTAAAAGAGATATTCCCTTGTTTTGGTAGATAGCGTAGCTATTCCTTTACCATTCTATCAAAACACTCACTTAAAATGATGCCATGGAAGTTTTCTCCATCCTGCCCTGCATTGATAACCCGATGCCAGCAGGAGTTTTACAATCCCAAATACTTTCTTCCTAGAGTAAAATTTCTAAAGAAGTCAGGTTTTGGGCCAAAGGGAAAGTTCTTTAAAGAAATTTAAGAAGCAGGTCCTGTAAGGTTTTTTGTTTGTTTGTTTGTTTTTGCCATCCTTACATCCTAGTTGGTTTTAGAAAGAAAATCTGAATGGGAGAACTAATAATCTCTGACTCTAACAAAATAAAAGCAGCTAAGAATAGAATGAAATGATTCTAGAAATGATTTTTGTAAAAAAACTTGGGCAGTCAGTTTAGAGAATACAGAGCTGGATGGGTTAATGATCTGGTTAAATGTAAGGCAACTTCCCACACTGTATCCTAATAACAAACTTTATCATTTGGTACATCGGAACATTTGACTTCACGGCTGGTTTGTGAGCCTGCATTATCAGTCAGCTAATTATCAAAACCTTCAGTTACAAGTTCTTTGAAGCCCTCTATTTAGAAATTCTCATAGATAAACAATTTTAGAAATCTATGGCATAGAGGGGACCAGAAAGCAACATATCTTTGGATCTTACATCCAAGCTGCATATTTAAATGGGTTTCTAGAACTTGTGCAGACTGTCCAAGTCACTGTACCTGCATATTCTTCTACTGCTAGTTAGTGCTCCCTTTATGCTAATCTGCAAAACAAACCTGAGACATTTCCAAACACTGCCTTTTGGATATTGACAAAGAAGCAATAAAATGTTCATAATATGAGCATTATTTCATTTTTCATGTTTCCAGAACAATATCTTCCATCTCTCCATTAGGAGCATTTTGCTCTAAGGTCATGTGAAGATGGTGGATAGAATATAAGTGTATAAGTAAATGCAATTGATTAGATGACAGAAAAGGTTTTATTTCCTGTATAGCATTGAGCTAAAACTTTCATTTAATGGACGAGAGAAATATTTACGTTATCTGAAGGTGCATCAAATATGAATGTACATTATTGTTATAATCAATAGCATTTGCATACTTAAATCATTCACAGAATTGTTGTAAATTGACATTATAATGATATAAATGGAAGCAAATGACATAAAATAAGTCAAATGTCCAATAAGTTTTGTGTGAATAGATCAGGCTTCAGATGAACTTTTTTAGGAACATCCAAAAATGCAGCCCATCCCCAGAGTTATATAATCTTTTGTTGGCTGATGCTGAAGTTCTGTTTGCCTAACCAGTAAAGGAAGCTTATTTATGTTTTCTTGAAAATCTCTTAGGACTGAGGGTGGAGGTGGGAGGTGCAGTGATAGAACTTCACAAATATTAAACCACTTACAGTAAGTAAGCAATCAGAATTTGGAGAAATTAATGCCAAGATATACATATATTACTTTATAACCCTTCTTAGTTATCTACTAAATATAAAATATACAACAGCTGCTTTTGTCTCTTGGGTTATCCATTGTTTCTTGGATTGCTACCATTAGGTATGGTGATATAGTAATGTTATTCTCTCTTGCTTAGGCTTTCTTCTAAACATCTGAAAATTGCCAGCGTATATTGTGACATTAGGTTAATTAGGTTAATCCCTGTCTAGGACAGGGACTATCTAGGAATGGGATATGATGCAGAATTCCACAGAGTTCACTTAATTCTCCATCATTTTTAATTCCTAAATAGTGACTCTAGGAATACCAATCTCCCTATCTTTCCACCCACCCATACCTACCTGTCTGATCCTGTAGGAATTCCTGCCATGGCATAATGCTAGCATAATGCTAGTGAAGGGATGAAATAGCTATAGCGCATTTAGCATCACTGCCATCTCTGATCTAAAACCTGAAATAATCGACAAAGTTACCCTGAAATTATTCACTTTATATAACAATATCTTTGCGTTTTCTCAGATTTTTTTTCTGAGCACGTGTCCTAGATGTGGAAGGCCACCGCAAGGTCAATTATCATCAGCAAATGGGGCTAGGAAAATATTCTAGCTTGAAATCCTGGAGCTCTTACATATCAGGGTCAATACTACTGAACTAGCATAGGTTATCAAAGTAATCAAGATTTAGAAGAGCCCGTTACAAAGATAAAATGAACATTAAATGTTTAAATGCTAAATATTAAAGAGATAAAAGTATACTTAGATAATTCATTGTTTACAACAAAAAAGTAAAGAAAATGGATAGGTTTATGTTTGTTTGCCATAGTAAAATAAGAAGCTGAAAAGTGTGTTGGAGAACAAGAGGACTTAAGGTGAATGGAAACTTTGAGAAATTCATGAAAAATAATAACATTTCAGTGATCCCAAAGATCAGAATAGTTAAACAAACCACTTTTTTAGAAGTAATATAAATTACTGAAGTGGGCATGGCAAAAAAAATGGACCTGAAGATAGTTACTAAGTATCAGAGGTAACACTACAAACCAATCAATTGGTCATAGAAACAATAAAGACCAATTGCCGTATTGAAACCTTTTAAAAACTTGAAACAAGCAGAAACACACATTTAATGCATCTTGTGCAAATGAATGAAGAACTTGAAAAAATAACTATATTTCGGGAGTTTGTGGAAAGATGAGGAGGAATAGATCTGTGAGATGATCCCTTGAATGACTTTGGAAAAACTATGGATTGTCATTTACTCGACACAGGTTGAGAAAGCTTAATAGCAGTAACTGTGAGAGTGAGTCTTAGTTAAATATTACTTAGTTAAACAATTAAATATGAGCCAGTTAAACAATTAGTTAAACAATTAAATATGAGCCAGCAGTGTGTGGTGGTAGCCAAAAAAACCAATGCAATCCTAAACTGCATTAACAGAGGGATTCAATCAAGATCATGTGAGGTATTAATACCATTCTATAAAGCCTTAGTAAGGTCACACCTAGTATATTGCATCCAGTTTTTGGTCACCACAGTATAAAAAAGATGTTGAGACTCTAGAAAGAATGCAGAGAAGAGCAACCAAGATTATAAGAGCTGCGTTTGTGCAGTGGTTAGAGTCAGTACTACTGCAAGGCTACTTCTGCTGACTGCCGGCTGCCAGCAATTTGGCAGTTCAAATCTCACCAGGCTCAAGGTTGTCTCAGCCTTCCATTCTTCTGAGGTGGGTAAAATGAGGACCCAGATTGTTGGGGGCAATATGCTGACTCTGTAAACTGCTTAGAGAGAGCTGTAAAGCACTGTAGAGCGGTATATAAGTCTAAGTGCTATTGCTAAGGGGACTGGAGGCTGAAGCATATGAAGAATGGTTGCTGGAGTTGGGTATCTCTATTTTAATGAAAACAGGGGGCATGGGTCACATGATAGCAGTGTTCCAGTATTTGAAGGGCTGCCCCATAGAGGAGTGGGTCAACCTGTTTTCCAAAGCACTTGAAGGCCAGACAAGAAATATTGGATGGAAACTGATCAAGGAGAGATTCAACCTAGAAATAAGGAGACTTTTTCTGACAATGAGAACTATCAACCAATGGAACAACTTGCCTTCAGAAGTTGTGGGGGTTTCATCACTGGAAGCTTTCAAAAAGAAATTGGATAGCCATCTGTCAAATGGTATAATGTTTCCTGCTTGAGCAGGCGGTTGGACTAGATGACCTACAAAGTCCCTTCCAACTCTGCTATTTTAAGTACAAAACATGATTTGTCCATAGAGTTTCCAGAATCTAGAACTCTAATTAACTAATTAGATCTTTCAATAGGGAGACATATTTCTAATGTGCACTATCCTAATTGGGTTTTTCTGACCTTAATTCTGCCTGAAGTATTTTTCAAGCAAGGTGAAAATATAAACTAGTTAATTACTGAGCCACACCCACTAGTACAGCAACAAGGGATAGTTATTTTAAAACATCCATGAAACAGATGGAAAGGAGCCTGCAAATAAACCCTATTGAATCATTGTCCATTTTGTCTGAAAATATATGGATACAAATTTTCATTGTAAGTTTATGAAACTTACTCTCGATAAATATTCTTTTAGTCTGCTTGCTGTTGGTTTCAGAAATATATTTAATAACATTTAGTTAATTAATTAAGAGTCTATAGTGAATAGTCTTAACTATTTCACTGATATCCAATATTTTATATAAGATCATTTCTAGTAAGAACTATTCACAGACTTCATTCTTATCACAATACCACCCTGTTGAATGTGGGATTCTTTAGCTGTTCAGTTAAAATTGGTGAAATAATATGTATACCATTGTCCTTGTCTCTTCTCCATAATATTAGAAGTAAATAATAATAGGACCCAAAATCTTGTTAATAACAAACCCACAAGTAATCCCAATGATACACCCTTTGGCTGTATGACAAACAATAATTTGCTCCACAATCTGTGAGGATACTTGATTGTTTATAGATTTTTTTATTTGTGTAGGAGAAAAATGTGAGG